GCTGGACAGAAGAGGGGCGCACATTTGGGGACGCCCGGTAGCTTATCTCAAGCTGGAATATCAACGCGTTTTATCGCTTTCACCTCAACCAACTGTGACGGAAAGGTGTTACGTTTCATTTCAAGAACTGACTTTGCGCACAAATTTATTCATGCAGCTCACATTATATTACATAGTTTATTAAGTACATAGTTCATTCACCCTATTTCCACGTCTATAAGACGAACCCTGGTTGCTTAAAAGACAAATGCGGCAAGGAAAGCCGCGTGGCATGGGGCGTGTGACTGTATAAATAGCAGGGAAGAGCGACCGCTTCGCGGCAGACACGCAATGCACCCAGGTCTGATATCGCTTAGAGCAAACTAAGTGATGCTTGTTTATCTGGAGGTGGGTAAAAGTTAAATTATGAATCTAAATCTTAATTCGTCATAAAAGGATGATTGAGGCTTGCAAAGTAGTCAACTTACTCTCGGTAACCTGTAGTGCAAACAACTTTGATGGCATGACTGCAGGGAGGGATATTGAAAATCACATAGGATGTGATTCAAGACAACGTAAAATTACCGAAAGCAGCGTGAAAAGAGAAGCGAATATATTTATGCAACATACATGCAATATAAATGCAACATATTTCTTCAAAAATAAAACTCCCAATAATTAGTTATTGGAAGTTTTATTTTTGACTAAGGGCATCAACACCGGATTAGAATTTGCGTACGTGAAGATCATAGGACAAAGATCCGTTCATGTTGCCCACATTCATCACAACCATTCTGACACAACCTATTTTGAGACTTTCAGAAGCGTGCTGTAATGCCGGAATGATTAGGAACATTATCACTAGTACAAGCTCAGTCATGTCCCTACAATGGGTACAGTTTTGTGAATAAGAAACGAATGAAAAAACAAACCATTATATGAGGTATGATGCTGTACAGTTTGGATACACGTGCCATTCGGTCTGCCATAGTAAGATCTGCGCAAGTTGTCATCACGTATTCGGATAAAAGAGCACCGTATTTCCGACACGCCCTTGATGTAATCTCTGATCCTTCGTCGCTAAGCGACATCACTGCAAATTTCCAGTAAGAACTGAGAATGCGAATAACAGTAAAGGTGAACTTCGTTCAATTTTTGAGGAGAAATACAGAAACCAAAAACTTGGCCTGGCTTTTGGAAAGGGAAATATCTATTTGAAATCGGTTAAAACGCAAACAAATATGCTCTTCACAGCTGCGGCGTAACACTGAAGCAATTTAGCTTTAGTGTTTTTGTGCAAAATCTGCATGGTTATCGACTCTGGCATTACCGTATCAATGTAAGTGCTAATACCAATCAAGTTCCTTGTTAATGACAAGACTTGAGTTGTTATTGGAATTTTCCAGCGCTTTTTTCGACACTTTTTATCTACAAGCAGTTTTTGCTCATGTGTAGTACGCCAATTTCGCGTAGAAAGAAAACGTATAATTCGCTTAATTTGTGCTGAGGAATGCTGCGTCACTTTTTGCTTTATCAGATAGTAGATGCAACTATAGTAGTATCTGCAAGATTTTTTCTATGGATGAAGAAAGCCAGCTAAAATCACGAGTACATATTTATAAAATATTCGGTTACTCACCTCCTGAAAAAAGAACAAGCGCTTTTATGATTGCATATTCTTCGACGGTGACGAGAATTTCTCGAAAAACAGAGATAACATTTCTGTATAGGTACCCCACAAGTTCGCGAAGGTATACGTTGTATCTGATGTGAATTATTGACACAAATTCGAGAAAAGAAAAGTTTTAGCACTCACTCATAGTCCTCACGTTTCTTTGATAAGCTAAACTTGAATCCATGTGGAAATAGAATACCATCGCAGTTGTTGAGATAAGCGTTGAACGACATTAGCAACAAGACCACACCACAGTAATTCGTGCTACATAAAGCAAGCTGAATGGCAACAAAATGGACACAAAATGAACGGGATTGGGGTGAATGGACTTAAAATTTGAGATGAGTTTGAGAAATGTCTGCACAAATATGTGTAGATATTAGTTCCATAATTACCAGTGACAAGCACAATTTTTTGTTGGATTTTTGCGGAAAGGTGACATCTGCGAAGATCTTTGCGGCTGGTGGCCCGCCTTTAATCTTTCCAGAGTTTTGCGCTGCAAGATATGCCTAAGAAGTTTTTCAAGCATATTTCGCAAGGTACTTCTGTAATGCACCCCCTCTCTATGAACATTTGCCACATTATATTGCTAGGACAAGTGCTATACGCTGGAAAAGTTTTTTTTGCAAAAAAATCCCTAACGACTCTGACAAAGAAGTTCTTGCTCATATATTAATCATAGCTGGTAGTTGGCACAAGATAGCTAGCTAGCTAGCTATGGCTAATGTCCAGTAAATATCAACCTTTTCGCGCTCACCAGTTATATACATTTTCAAACCTTTTTGAGCGCATTACATGCGGTTTGAGTAAAGTTCGTATAGGCTGCTGCATGACAAAGGCCTTAAACTTCGAGCGCGATCGCGGCTTTGATAGCCGCAGAGCGCACAAAGCGCAACATTTACAACGATGAAGATACGCGCGCGCCGCGTTCGCATTCACAATTAATAGTTGTCTATAATCGCTTCTGCGCCTTCGTCATGTTAGCCTTAGCATAGATTGCGATATTCTACTATTTTTATTCGAAAAGGCTTTACACAAAGCTCAGACTCTTTCAATTTGCATTGCTTGAAAGTTTACTGTAAAAACAAAAACTTCTGTAAACTAAGAAAACATTTCAAAAATGTGTTTACAAAATGTGTTTTCCACTGCGAATCCGTTAATAAAGATTATCGAACAATACCACACGTCGTCTTGGTCTAGAATGGCGCTAATAAAAAAACATTGTGCGTTCATTGTGATCATTGTGAGTTTTTTTATGAAAATCCTCTTTATTATTAGGTTGTCCGGAAATTAATGCCCGTTTTAAATTCCAACCGCGCTAAGTCATATACTTCTCATCTCTAAATGGGTTGCAAAGTACCATTCGATAGAGCAAAGCAAGCTCTACAAGATGGCCATCTTGCTTTTGCAACAGCTTTGATTCATCTCGAGTTTCGAGCCAAAAACTAAAAAGACTCACCAGTCCGAAAAATCGAAAAAAATCGTAACTCAGTTCATAAAAATCCTACAAAAATTCTAATTTGCTTGCGTAAACACTATCCACATAAGACATTAATATATGCTGTTGCCGTATTTTTTTCTCTGTTAGAAACCAAGGAAACGGAAATTTTCGTGCATTTGCCAAAGTGATGCTGTGCCGTCCCCGCATAGGTAGTTGTATACCACAAGTCTGTAGAAGTACAGACTCAAATTTCCAGCTCTCTACAAGCTTTAATTCTCAAGAAATACCGAATATAGCTTTCCTTACTTAAGTGGTCCAAGCTAAAATTCAAATTTCTCGAGAACTAAAGCTTGTAGAGAGCTGAATATTTAAGTCTGTACTTTTTCAGGCTTGTGGTATACAACTACCTATGTGGGGACGGCACAGCATCACTTTGGCAAATGCACGAAAATTTCCGTTTTCTTGGTTTCTAACAGAGAAAAAATACGGCAACGGCGTATATTGATGTCTCATGTGGATAGTGTTTACGCGAGCAAATTAGAATTTTTGTAGAATTTTTATGAAATGAGTTACGATTTTTTTCGATTTTTCGGGCTGCTGAGTCTTTTTAGTTTTTGGCTCGAAACTCGAGATGGATCAAAGCTGTTGCAAAAACAAGATGGCCATCTTGTAGAGCTTGCTTTGCTCTATCGAAGGGTACTTTGCTATCTATTTAGAATTGAAGAGTGTATGACTTATTGAGGTTGAAATTCAAAACGGGCATTAATTTCCGGACAACCTAATACTTCAATACACCCCTAAAGCAATGTCTACCAAAAACTCCCCGCTGCCGCGGCATTCCTGACTGAGACTCCTAAAGGCAAAAAATAGTAAACATTCACGAAAATACGAACGCCTCGCTTCTTTGAATGCGCATTACCTTTTCAAGCAGTTTTTCCTTAGCTACTGAAACTTTTTCACATGATATACACAATCGATACGGATTACGATTCTGTCTCACTGGCAGTGTCGCAGTCTCGGTGCGGTGTAGCGTGGTGATCCCGCTACACCGCACAATCAAAATTCCGTCACGCTAAAAAAAATTGGTGTTGAGGTTTTCACTATCGCACTCCATATGTGTTCGGTCATGTTTCGGAGAGAAGTCCGCAATTGAGGTTGCCTCCGTAGGCAATTAGTCCTATTACAAAGCTGCTGCATGCCGTTTGGGAAATAGTAGTCCGAGGAAGCAGCTAATGGAGTGTTCCCCTTCCTAGCATGGAAAGGCCCGGGAGTTGTAAGCCATAAAATCTGTGGTCTCCGTAAGCTACTATTAAAGAAATGCGCTATATTGACGACACATTAAGACGCAATAATGCGCTCGCCGCATACATCCGGTAAGATTCGCTTTCTTTCAAAAAGAAATATACCCTCTGCCTTTTCGGGACGACATGACAATTGCCATGTCGCCCTCAAAAGATGAGAGGCTTGAATTTTGCGCGACCTCTCGTTTGAATGCTTCACCGCTTTGCAAATGTGTCCTTTGATCATTTTAACACCCCTGAGCAACACTGAAGCTCGCCTTCGGACCTTCTTAACGTTTAATGTAAGGAATTGATTAGAGGACAGTTTGCAAAAGCGGAGTCAGCCCATGCGACGTGGTCGCGGGATTGCAGCCTTTAAGTCGGCGAAACTGCCTTGAAACAGCGGATAAACATATCTTCTGCCTGGTTGGGGAAATATAATAAGCATAGTTTATACCTTATCTCTCGAGTTCAGCATTTGTAATTCAGGACAGCTTGCAATGAAGTCGGCAAAGTGCGTAACTGTCCTACAATAAAGTCCCTTCATTATGTCAAGCAAATTATCTTGTTCCATTAATTCGTCGTTCCAGCCAATCTGAAAAATTGGCGTCACTTTTAAACAGCGCTAGCTGCAAGTAATAAATGTCGGGTGCAATACAGGTGTTCTAGCACAACAGAGATGCGGCTTCTGGAGAACATCAGCAAGCGATGCATCTAATGAAAAAGCAAATGACGACTTGGGCGCTTCGTTATTGTCACATAGACTGAATAGAATCACAATTTTTTCTTCAAGAGATTTCTAAAACTACTTCATACCTTTCTATGTAAACAAGAGTTCTGGCATAGTCGGAAGCGTTAGAGGTACGTACGAGATCTCGCACAAAATGAGCTCCGATACTAACGGCCTCCGGCATCTGTCTCTGGAACTCACAATTTCTTCACCAAAATAAAGACTAGAGGAATTTGTACGTGTGCACTCTGCGAAGCTTGTTTATCTATATTGATTTTCAGCAAAACTAGACGGAATAATTGACAATATATTCCTTATTTTTTCATCCTCGCCCAAGGTCTTCGTCTGTACTACGTTGTCGTAGGTCAGCCTTGATTCTGCCAATTTACCTCACTTCGGATCTACCTCTGAATTTTTGCCTGGTACCGCCTCCACTGCCAGGGCTAAGTTTGTGATAAGTATTTCATCCCTTCTGCTCGTACCAGCACAACTTATTTCTCCGCATTTTCTGGACAGTTAGAGCTTTCTAGGCTACTTACATTCGCGCTTGAATAGCGTTATTGCAGATGTGGTCCTTCAGTGGACTCCTAAGATCCATCAAAGCATCTTTCGTGTTTCCGTGACGCTGAGCCTGCGTTCCTCGTTCCGCGTACATAGACGGTACGCACTGCCATAGAGTGCTGCTGGGTGATTAGCGGTACAGTACAGCTGAAACTTGAGCTCAAACTTCTCCCCCCCACCCCCATTTGCTAGTGGCTAAAGGCACTCGCCAACGGATCAGCAGACCTACTTGCTAGCCTGTTCACATCAAAATCGGACAAGGGAAGAAAGGTTGGTCGAAGTGGCCTTTCAGATGAGATGTGTACTGCCTTGTGGAGCTTGGAACGCTGATTCCAAATCTGCCTTCGCTATCTGCTGCGGGTTTTTGGGCGAGGAGCTATGAAAGTTTGGGTGAGTAAAAATTCAAATGCAAGATATTAGTGTAAAATCAGTCGCATCCTTTTTTCCAAAGGCTTAACCGATAATCTAGTCACTCGATGCAACAAATATTTTTAATTTAAATATACCAACTCGCTGTCTTATTTGAATGTTAGGAAAAGGTTACGACTGATATTGTGCTGGTCTTACATTCAAATTTCTACTCGCAAAAACCTTCATAATTTCTCGCCCGGAAGCCCACAACAGATAGCAAAGGTAGATTTGAAATGAGCGTTCCAAGCTTTATGAAACAGTGTACATCTTATCCTAAAAGTCCACATCGACCAATCTTCCCGTAAGTCGCGTGTGCAGAGAAAACCTTCAAGCTGCCGCAGTTTGAGAGCATTAGACAACTTCACTGACCTAGTTTGCAAGGAGTACCAAAGCTCGCGCAACCTCCGCACCAATCAGTGCAAAAAATACTGCTGCAGGGGTTTATGTGTCAAGACATTCCCATTTCCCATTAAGCACTGTTTCGAGCTTTCTTTTGGAAAGTGGAAAAACGGTCCAATTTTTGCTTTACGCATTTCAGCTTTACAAGGGAGAGCAGAAGATGAAGAAGACAACAGCGTGTAACCTTTTAAGAAGCTGTTTTAAAAAAGCTTTTTGGTTTCCTCGACACAACCAGCCCATTCGATGCCTTTAAGCATCGTAAACGCGATAAATGAAGCATGCAAAGTTTATTCGAAACGTCAAAATAGAAATTTTCTATTCGATACGTAACACCAACAATTATGCATGAACTTATCACGCTTTTCAATTTTGGCAGTCCTGTGCGCGCACAAGAACTCAGACAATTGCTGGGGGCAGACAAAGATCCTTGAAAAATCTGGGAACTCTATTAGATAGCACCTTGGAACCTGATTTACAAGTCGTTTCCGTTGCATATACAATTTTATCCATTATTTTCCGTCAGTTGCGATAACTCCAAAATACTCTCAAAAACTAGCACCCTTTTTAGGGCCGCATTAACACCCCCGCCAGGGAGGGGATTGCAACTCAAAGGGCCGCATGCACTAACATCCCCGTGGGGAGGGGATCGCAGCTCAAAAGAAAGCTTTATATTTCAAAATTCCAGGTACCTGAATTTCACGTTGTGTACCTATTCGTAAGTATTCCTACTACCCTTCACTATGAACATGTTGAAGAGGAGCGAGAAGCTGGACGAACCGCATTTTCCAGCTTTTGTATGATCCCTGATGATCCCCGGCGCTTTTCTTTAAAGTCATTTTTCTTTCTCCGAAGTTAACGAAAAACCTCCAAAGTTGTGCAGATTGTCTAACCCGACAGTGCTAAACATGTTCTGATAGGAACAAATGATGTTTTGTAGTCATGAAATTTTCGATGATCCACAGGTCGAAATGTGAGGTTTACCGAAAAATTCGACTTTTCAAAAACGCATTTGTTCTCATCAGCAACATGCTTAGCACTGTTGTGTTAGATGTTCAGTACAACTTTGGAAGGTTTTCGTCAACTTTGGAGAAAGAAAAATGACTTTGAAGAATAGATGTTCGTCCCCCAGGGACCATCAGGAGATCCTACAAAAAGCTGGGAATTGCGGCTTGTACAGCTTCTCGCTTCTGCTCAACATGTTCATAGTGAAGGATGGTGGGAGTACTTACGGACATGTAGACAGCGAGAAAGCAGATATCCGGAGCTTCAGGATATGAAGCTTTCTTCTGAAGCTGCGATCCCCTCCCTAGCGGAAAAGTTAGTGCATGCGGCCCAAAGAAAGCAGCGCATATTGAAGCTCCAGACATCTGCATTTCACGTCGCATGACCTATTCTCACCATCCTTCACTATTAATATATTGAACACAGCGGCAAAAAGCTGTTCAGTATGTTTATAGTGAAGGAGCCGCAAGCTTTCTGTATGATTCCTTGATGACCCCCAGTGGCTGACGCTTTTCTCCAAAACCATTTCTTTCCTTCAAAGTTTACAGAAACTTTCCAAAGTTGTACTGTACGTTCAATACAGCAGTGCTAAGCATGTTGCTTATAAGAACAAATAAGCTTTGAAGTATCAATTTTCGATAAACCCCAACTCTCGACTTGTGGTACATCGCAGATTTCATGATTTCAAAACATCATTTGTTCTTATCAGCAACATGCTTAGCACTCAGGGCCCGGCACAGATTGTATTACATAAAAGAACTTCGTTTTTGGGGCGAAAAAGCAAAGGAGATATCGTTTTTGCGGCCAAAAATTGACATTTTTCAACCAAAATTTCGTTTTTTGGGGCTCGTTCTTTACGTTTGGAGCTGAGGGGGACTTCGTAAAATTTCGCGAAAGTTAAGAGGAACTTTGTTTCCAAAAACTCTAGAAACGAAATCATGCCGGGCCCTGTTGGCACTACTGTATTACATAATCGGTACAACCCTAGATTGCTCGTTGACTTCGAAGGAAGAAAAATGACTTTGAGGATAAGACAGGGCCGCTGGAGATCATCAGGGATCATACAAATGCTGGAATATGCGGCATGTAAGCTTCTCGTTCCCGTCCGGTATGCTAATATTGAAGGTGGTGGAGATACTTACGAATAGGTGAACAGCGTGAAATCCAGATATCCAGAACTTCAGATAAATCTGGATATAGATTTAGAATATGAAACTTCCTTTCAAGCTGCGATACCCTTTCCTCGGATGTCAATGCATGCGCCCCTTAGGAAGCACAAAGACACCCTAGAGAGTCCAAAGAGGTTCCACCAAACTTCTCTTTTACCGTTATTTGACTCAGCATACCCACTTCTGCTTCTACATTATGACGAACGCTCAAAACATTTGGTCTCGAATATCTCTCATATCAAAGAGTGTTCACAATCTTGCATTTGCATTTAGGATTTACAGAAAGTAAGCTGGGGCCTTCTAAGTACTGTGTGTTCAGGCCTAGTTATGAAAGGACAAGCGGTTTTGTTATTTATCATTACTCAACAATAAAGCGCTAAGCGTCTGTCTGTTTGTCTGTGTGTGTATCATGTCTGTCACGAAATTCAAACAGCGTGTTGTAGTCAGGGTTCTGAGTTGAAATTTTGGTCATCGCACCCTATCAACGTGTAGGTGAACAGTGCAGAAGCACAAGCTGATGATAATTGAAACTTTTGAAACCTGCGCGCAAACGGTTCCACTTCCACGATTTTTGCGATTATTGTACTTTTTGCGAAGTTGTGGATTTGCTTAACAAGCCAATGCGCAGACCATAGACTTAAGTCCAGAAAGTAAGCAAAATACCTTTTTTTCCCAGAGTCAGCGCCAAAAAGAAGTGATTGCGTAAATCAACAATTTGCCAGGCTTTCATTTGATCATTTGCAAAGACTTCTGCTTAGAAAAGTAGGTGACGGAAGTAACTGTCCTTGGTGGAAACTAGCCGACCATAATAATTTTGGTAACTGACCAAAACTCTCTCTTAATGTTCTACGCAAAAAACTTTCCTCTACCGCTCCTACATGGAAAAGCCCTTGGATGAGTAGTTGTTTACGATTCGGTTGTGAAGGTAAGCATTGCACGTGAGTTTCATAGTCAACATCATGGGAGCAAGAGGAAAGCATATAGATGGAGGAGCCAGTGCGAGCCTCTGTGAAGCAGAGGTAAAGCATTGATTTACCAATAAGTAGTGAGCGAAATCGGTTTTGTACCTTCTAAAATGAGTTTTGCCCGTGCTTGAGAATATTGGAAAAATTATCGAAAGAACTTTGACCTGCAAAAACACATCATGCCAATATGAGATTAAGAAGAGAAACGAATGATTTCTTTTCGCAGATAGAACTTGCTTCCCAGTTGTTTCATGCTCTTTCTTGCCAGCCGTATGCATTTACGGCTCTCAATCAGCGCATGTGTCTGATGAATTTTTTTTATCTTGCTTTTCCACATCTGTTCTGCTACTAACTCGAACTGAACCATGTAGTTTCGAGCCCAGCCTAATTGCCAACTTATGACTAGTTCGATACAGCTTGCTAACTCTAATTGACGCTGCCCAATTTGCAAACTATCTAACCATCCTCGAAGCTCAGGACCCTCCCGGAAAACGTATTGGGCGGAACTTGCCAATATACCCGACGGCCGAACTTTCGTGCTTCTACAGATAATTAAGATCGTTCCTTGCTGACAAACAAGGGGGCATGGACTTCTTTTGGAGTGTTCGCAAGCACAAGATTATACGTAAGCCTTAACCATGTTACGAAGCTTTCTACACTACTGCTACACTATTTCTCTCTTATATAGTCGTCTAGACTGAGCATGGGATGACATGGTGACTTTTTGTTACTGTTGTGTCTCATGTATGACCGAGACTCTAAGGTTTTTGATCTGAAAGGCCTTGAGCTTATGAATGAAATGAAATATACTTGCAAACATACATACAGATGCACAGCAACATCTCGCCCACAAGATCGACATGAAAAAAAGATTTGTAGCAGTTATTTAGCAAACTGCAGAATGCATTTTTGCCTAATTATGCAATCACTCAGAAGAGACAAAAAGCAATTTCTCACCAGATTGTAGGCACTGGAAACTAGTGCAAAATGAGGAAGCGTATCCATTGTCCTCTGCTTCTCCTTAAAAAAAAGATGCTGGATGTTGGAGTATTTATGACATAACATGCAGCTATGATCGATGTTTGCAGCTAAAATGCGCTTTTAAAAAATGGCTACATAACAAGTACTGCATAAATCAACAGTGAATGTGATATATGTTCATATGGTTACAAAAGCTCAAGTACAGTCGAATCCTATCGCACCTACGGATTGTATCTATAACCGTCGAGAAACCCTTCTTTAGCACTTCCGAAAAATACTTGGAGTTACACTTGTTTAACACTTACGCTGGACTGTTTAAGATGGCAATCCTACCGTAAAACTGCTCACAAATGAAAGATAAAGTCAGCTTTTCAAGATCTTATCTTGGGTTTTCTAGAATGTTGTTTTGGCAGTTTATTTTACTAGAATTGAGTTGAGCGATGTGTACAGTCGAATCATATCATATGATCACACACACCGTCCATCTTTGGGTCCTCATCCTGGATTGCTTTCGCAAAACGCAGGAGGCTGACCGATTGCTACCGCTTACACCACTTTGAGGTGGATAGAACCTAAAAAGGAAAGAAAACTTTGAAAACACATTGGTAACACCTGCCTAAGGCTGCGTTCATACTGATTCCCTTGTTCTGGAACTGTTCCCGCACAGTTCTCGCACTGTGCGGGAACTGTGCGGGAACTGTGCGGGAACAGTTCCAGAACAAGGGAATCAGTATGAACGCAGCCTAAAGGTTTGCCTCCTTCAAGAATCCAGGATGGGAACGCCAATGGTGGACGGTGCATGCTTTGTCACACATGATCATACGAAACAATCCCCCTTCACTTGAGGTTCATTATGAGAGTCAAAATATAATGGCAAAATATAACACTTATAATATTACATATGATACACTGTTTTGTTTAAAAAAGCGACTGCTGTCTCTTCTCAGTGCACGGCAGCATTTTCATTGGCAGCGTAGCAACAGCATTTGCTAGAAAAAATACATGCTTGAAACCTCCTCAAACCTCCTTACGCTCAAAGCGAGCGGCGTTTTGATAACGAACTATGCTCAAAAATTGAGCAGGAGTGAAATAAGAAGTATGATGGATGAATGCATTGATACATGTTATTGACAAATTTGAACCATATTCCTTTTTATTAAGAGGATAACAAAAAAAGAGCACAATTAAACTCCTTGTTTTAAAAGTTTTTGATTTGCGTTTAGAGATCCGAAAAAGACCTTTTCGTTTTTAAAATGAAGTTTGAAATGGCTACACAAAATTTAGCTGATGTTATAGTCAGATAAAATTGCATTGCTCTCTCACTTCGCCTTACAGCTATTAAAAAACGAAAGTCTTCTGTGTCAATTTCTTGTGTTGTTAGCTATCAAAAGTTGTATCAAGTGTTGGTGCACAATGCTTGTCGGCTCCACAAAGGTCTTGCTCTGACGACCTATGAAAGTCAAGCCAGGGCTGGGCACAGCTGGCACCGGGTCAAGCTGGATATCGTGTTTAGGGTGGGAAGCTAAGGGGATATCGTTTTTTCGGGGTCCACGGCGGAGAAGTGCCGCAAGAATGCCGCCGGCATGCCACCGGCATGCTGTCCAGCAACAAACAATGGCCTCGTTCTCAGCCAAAATGCAATAGTATGACACCAAATTTGGTGTGTGTATGCGCGTTGGTGGACCGGAACTATAGCCCAAAAATTTATGAAAACTTATGTGAATGAAAGCTGTGCCGAACTTTTTTCAGAATTAGCTGGCACCGTGCCAGCTGGGTGCCAGCTGAGCTGGCACCGACACTGCTCACATAAGTTTTCATACTTTTCTACATAAAATGTATCTATACTGTAAAAGGTTACATACAGAGAAGAAACATTTTCATAATGTTTTCTTTTCAGCATTTTATAGCAATTTTAAAATTATTCAGTCTGCTCCGCAATCGAGAAATCAGTTTTTTATGCTTCTCAAGATGTGATTCAACCACATAAAAAGCTCAGAAATTTGTGAAAAGTGGTTCCATGAAATCAGCATGCATGAAAACCCTACTACATACTTTTACAAAATCCAAAAATAATGATTTGTCTTCAAAACTGGTCAAAGGAGACTTCGTACGAAATTTACAAGATCAAATGGGACTTCGTGTCAAAATTTCCCTGGTGCCAGCTCGTGCCGAGCCCTGAGCCAAGCCACTGAGAGGGTGGGGTGGAGCACGATAGTAAATGTCTCTATTTTACTTCTAAAAAGCTACAAGCTTTTTCATTTGCCAATTCGTAGACCGTCAGAAAGCCACGAGACTAGGATCCTACATAGGCAGAACCTTTTTTCTAGCCTCCTCCCCACTCTTTCTACTCACAAGGGAAGTTCGCCGAATCGAAATGGCCGATTGATACGTGGTATACACGCGGACGCGGGGCTCGGGAGGTTAGTATCAAATGTGCACCCATTAGCTGCGACGCGTTATTGTGAAGCAAGTTATGGCCCTCTGAAGTTTTTGGCGTGTGCATGTCTAGAGAACGCACAAACGCTCCGATTGAGGTCGTGTGGTGTAGTGGTTAGCGTCTCGGGCTCACAGGTGACCGGTGAGGGTTCGAATCTTGTTGCTGTCCACATGTTTTGCGTTCTTCTCAAAAATCATTTTTTACCTGTTTTATGTATTATTGAGGTAAAAAATGACACACACGGGTTACGGAATGATTTTTCTTACGAAAATTCGACCAATGCTTCATATGTAAAATTTTCGTAGAACATAGCAACGACTTTTTAGCGACGGCTTTTCAATTGACTTTGAAGGTTTGCCAAATCCTCAATCCTCACTCCCACATACCGTCTGCGCCCCAGAGAGGTTCCCATGTGAACCAGCGTGCGTACGTGGTGCGACGATGCGGGTGCGGGAACTTAGGAACGGGAACTCATGTTTCAGAAAAAATTTATTTGAGTGCTAAATCCTAGTAAAAAACTAGAATAACATTAGAGAAATGACAGTTTAAAAACTCTCAAGATTGATAGTTATTTGAATGCTGAAATTTAAGCGAAAGACTAGAAAATCAATTGCGAAACGACAGTCTATAAAATTCACAAAAATGAAAGTCTGTTTGTGTGCGGAAGTCTGGGCAAAAGACTAGAATATCAAGAAACTAGCTGGCTTACCCGGCTCCACCGTATGTTCCGAATAGAAAATTCCATTTCTTAACCGATCCGGACCAAACTTGGCACACATACACTTCGGGCCCCGGCGGGTGTCACAGTCCACTTTTCGTCATCGATCGATGTCGAAAAGTGGCCTATGACACCCGCCGGGGCCCGATGTGTATGTGTGCCAAGTTTGGTCCGGATCGGTTCAGAAATGGAATTTTCTATTCGGAACATACGTACAGACAGACAGACAGACATACATACAGACAAACAGACATTCAGCTTTATATATTAGATGAAAAATCAAGAACTTCACTAACGATATTGCTGTGTCTGTCAACGACAGACGATTCTGATGTGCGAAGAACATCCTGCTAATGTGCTACAAGCAATGACCTCAACCTACGCAAGGAAAGGTTGCAAAAATCAAACGAAAGGATGAGAGAGGCAAAGCCACACTTAATCGAGCATAACAACATTATTTTTTGATGAGCACGGCTCGAAAAATTTGTAAATCTTTATTTTCAGGCAATTGTGGTAGTTTTAACTACTGAGTGGTATTTCTTGATGTGTTTTGCTCGAAATTCATCACTCAAAAAAAGCTATTATTTCTGAGAAGTTCTTGATTTTCATTTCTCGATATTCTAGTCTTTTGCCCAGACTTCCGCACACAAACAGACTTTTATTTTTGTGAATTTTATAAACTGTCGTTTCGCAATTGATTTTCTAGTCTTTCGCTTAAATTTCAGCATTTAAATAACTATCAATCTTGAGAGTTTTTAAACTGTCATTTCTCTAATGTTATTCTAGTTTTTTACTAGGATTTAGCACTCAAATAAATTTTTTCTGAAACATGAGTTCCCGTTCCTAAGTTCCCGCACCCGCATCGTCGCACCACGTACGCACGCTGGTTCACATGGGAACCTCTCTGGGGCGCAGACGGTATGTGGGAGTGAGGATTGAGGATTTGGCAAACCTTCAAAGTCAATTGAAAAGCCGTCGCTAAAAAGTCGTTGCTATGTTCTACGAAAATTTTACATATGAAGCATTGGTCGAATTTTCGTAAGAAAAATCATTCCGTAACCCGTGTGTGTCATTTTTTACCTCAATAATACATAAAACAGGTAAAAAATGATTTTTGAGAAGAACGCAAAGCATGTGGACAGCAACAAGATTCGAACCCTCACCGGTCACCTGTGAGCCCGAGACGCTACTACACCACACGACCTCAATCGGAGCGTTTGTGCGTTCTTTAGACATGCACACGCCAAAAACTTCAGAGGGCCATAACTTGCTTCACAATAACGCGTCGCAGCTAATGGGCGCACATTTGATACTAACCTTCCGAGCCCCGCGTTCGCGTATATACCACGTATCAATCGGCCATTTCGATTCGGCGAACTTCCCTTGTCAGAGATACAAGTCATTTTATGAGAACATGTGTGTCTTTGTCCGAAGTTCCGCGCAGAAAAAATACAGATGCTTAGTTGTCCGACTTTATCACAGCATAAGATTTTGCCATCAAAAAGTCCTCATTTTTTAGCCTTCCTCTTGATTTCAGAAATGGAGCAAAGTGACCGCACAAAATTAGCTGATGATGGATAATTGTAGAATTTTCAGAAGAGTTAGAGAAGAGACATTACGCTGAATTCATATTTTTTAAGCTCAGCGATACTTCGGTTGATATGATATAAAATTTTTTTGCATAAAAGTCTCTTTCTGATGACTTATTAAAGCCAAAAATTTAAAAACTTCCATGTAATCTCTTTCTATTCTAATCTTATTGTTAGTAGAAAGCATAAGACCAGTTTAATGACGGAAGGGCTGACTTTCATTAATTTCGAGCCTCACCTATGTAGTGATAAGCATTTTCTCAGAAAAAGCAGTTGTACAGCATCGCCTGTTTAGATTGTTACCACATACATAGAGTGCAATATTCTACTTTCATCGTTCAAAAGAAATTAAACTAACATCAGATAAGCCTTACGCAAAGCTCGAAAACTCTTTCAATTTGCATTGCTTGAAAGTTTGCTGTAACATCAAAAACTATAAACCTTGGAGAAACAATTTTAACTGTACTCACAAAATGTGATTTCCATTGCGAATCCATTATGTAAGGAACCACAGCACGATTCTTGCCAGCGCATTTGAAATCCTTTTTGTAACGGTCAACATCTATAAAAGTTTATTTGGGAAAGGCTCGGGTTGAAAGAATAATTAAGGCTTTTTAACTACAATGCTGTGCGACTTCTTGAGTCCTCAAATGAATTGCTCGTTTCAAGGTCGCAAGGAAAATTTTGTGCATGTCAGCTCCAAAATCTACCTTTTATGAGCGAATTCCCGAGGAAGAAATGAAGCCGAAAGAGAGAACATCCGAACCAATAATTTCCTGATTTTTATCACCTAGACTCATGTAGACCGATTGCCTTAGCGCTAGAATGCTTTGTAATGCAATCTCTTCTTTACCTCACATAATTAAAGGAGAGTTTTGAGAACAAAAAAAAATAGTTACATGAGACAGAACTTATTGCAGCGCCAAACTTTGTACAACTTGCCTTGTTCATTCATATTTGCTTTCAGACATTTCGCATACCGGCACGCTTTGCAAGAGTTTCTGTTATCTGCAACTCAATAATTTCTTGATCATAACAAAGTGTACCAAAGACAATGAACCAGGTGGCAATATTCAAAATTACATCTTTACCTTTTGTCACTACGCACTTGCTTTCCTTCTCACAAAAATATCGCAAGGTTTTTTGCACTGTACGCACAAAGAAGATCTTGCAACCCCTAGAATAAATGATTTCTCAAAGTTATGCCTAGTTTTCGCCAGTAATTTGGGTCATATTGGTACAAAATGGACTTGCAATTTAGATAGACTCACCCGCAAACCATGGCTCTGTAATGCATTAAGGCTCCAGGTGAAGCGCAGACCTGGCAGATCGAATCTGCGTTGTGCCGAACTTCCATTTGCAACGCAGAGTGCTAAAATTACTTATAACAAGAACACAATCAAGTCAGAGACAACACAGAGGATTACAGTGTTGCAATTTGTTAGCACTACCACATTACAAATCTTGCCTTTTGATTACGTAATAAATTTTGATATAGTAAATATTTACTGACTCCACGACATATACTATTACGTCAGATCTTGAGACTTAACCCGTTCTTCAAAAAACCAAGTCGATTTTCAGAGAAATTTCACATGAAGGCAAACTTCTTGCATTGCAAGTGTTTCTTTTTTTAATTTTTGGAACACTGGATGTGAGACGGCAGAAATGCGTTCATTCTATATTTGATTGCCGCTAGCTAGCGAAAGAAGAGTTTCAAAGAAGATTATATGGATGGACGAATCTAAGGCGTAGTTTGTCTCTGCTAGTCGCCCTTTTGCGTCATACAAGTCGAGAAAGTGACTCATTCGTTCAGCGTAGTCGAATTTCTAGCAAATGTATAATTTTTAAAGACAAATTATTCAGCTTGAACCAGCAGGTTTTCCAGAAAAAAATCATCAAACATTGTGAAGTGATTTTTATTAGATCGAGGTCGGACAAACACTATCAGGTAAACTTAAAAGAATTACAGGTGCATTGAGGATCCTCTGTAAAATGGGTTACCTTAGGGAATTATACAGGAAATGATTCTCTCTACCTTCTCGCAAGAGAAAGTGGATTGAGAGAGTAGGTGTGGCAATCGGACACTACTAAACTGATGCTCAGGAGCTTACCAGACACCTGCTGTAATAGGAGTAGGTCAGAGTGACGCGATGATAATCCGACAGATGAGCCAGCTCGCCATCTTTAGTCTGAATTATCTGACAAACAATTTTGCGATGAGCCGCAGTATCTTGTAATTCTCGAACAATTTAAGGGAACTTCCCGAAGGCTTCAGCGGAATCTCCGGAGGATCACCTGCGGAAATACCGCTATCGTCTTCGGGAAGTTCCCTCAAGGCTTTCAGGAACTTCCGATGTTTTGGCTTTAGCAGAACTTTTTTACTCGCCTAGTACCATCGTAAGAATATCTCCTGCTCATTTCTTTGGATGCTTCCATCGTACACATTGTTACACTCACGAGAGTTGAAAAGAATTATTTATTTATCTGTTTTTCGTGGCAATACATTCGCGTAGAAACATTGCGATGATAATAGAAAAGAGACTGCCAAAAATGTGGTACAGAGATCAGATCATTGAGAACGTGGAAGCAACGACTGAGCGTTGATAGTGAGCTTGATACATGGTGCATAACAGAAGAAAACCAGAAGAACAAAAAGGAAAGAACAGATATAGGTGGAGGCTGATGTAATATCCGTATTAAAAATGAGGGAATGGTAGCAGTATTGTTGATGGGCAGGAAACTCGCCGACTGCTATACGTCCCTCATGTGCAGCGCCATTCTTCTCCATTCGTGTTTCGACATTCGCGCTTGACCTTCTCTTCCGAATCCCTTCTGCACGGAGTTGGACTTCTAAAAGAAAAAATAAATTTGTGGTTTAAAAATCTAAGTCTATACCTTTGCAGGAATCAGTTTTCCTTCATGAAGACGATAGTATCTTATGCCTTCGCTGCAAAATTCAGCTTTAGTAGAGAAAACAGTCAAGACCGTAGAAAAGCTTACAGCGCTTCGGAGGTGCAGATTCCAATTTGACTACTCCAGTATAACTTCTTCTCAGGAAAGCTGTTGAATTTTTTGTCGCGCTCGTCGTCACTTCCGCCTAACGATAACCAAAAGCTGAAAAGAGAGCAAACAACATCTCGAAGAGCATGACTAACAAAATGGACATTTAAAAACACAAGAATCAGGTCGGTCAATTCACCATTCCAGACGTACTCTAGTCTCTTCGAAACAGTCATTCCCTGTTTACGTCAGGATAAAATTAATTACAAGGTGAATTACAAGTGCTCTAGAAAGGATAGCCAGATCTTTTTTGCGATGGTGTTTATACATCCAAGGAGACTTTTCAAAATGTGACTAAATGTAAGAACTAGCAGACACGAAGGGAACATTTCGCTTAACCATGATGTGAAGTTCCGACTATAAAATTAAAATTAAAGTCAGAACTTTGAGTTCTGACTTTCTTTAGGACATGTGATGTATGTCTACGTACTGAGAGAGGTTTGATAGAATGAGGAGAGCATCTGACAACTGGATTATCTTTTGCTATATGCAGTTTAGATATGGAAACGTTTTTTTTGAGGTTGGTTGTTGCTAAGTAATCAATATAGAAGTTCCACTGGAAAAGATGAGGTAGAGGCGTCAGGTGCAAAAATGAAAGTAGAATGGCACGCCCAATCGATATCGACGAAATCGATAGGTCATGACGCCCACGGTAGACCAAAACTGCCTATTTTTGACAAATTCTTCGTTTTATTAATGCTTAAATGGTGTAATTTTTAAATGGTAAGGTTAAGAAGTCCCTTCACTCAGTTCTTTGATAATAAATTATTCCGAAGTCTTCCTTGCTTCCTACTTCACTTATTTCCAACCTTCCCAGCTTCAAAGTCCTGGGGAAGTTCCCTCATATCTAAGTGCTCGGGAAGTACCAATCAGGATTTCCTCGGAAGTTCCCAACTTCATTGCTGTTGACGTCATTGTTCTCGGGAGGTTCCCATTTCTTTCAGCCTTCTTTCAGCTCAGTACAAAATCAAGCCCTCGGGAAGTTTCGCAAATTTAGCTTGCCCTCGGAAAGTTCCCGTGATTTGTCTGAGTTCATACATCCATGCTGTACATTTTATCGGATTTTGATTGGTAAATTATGACTCTAGCAGTTGAGATGACGACTTTGAATTCTGAAGGTATGTGATCTAGATGACTAAATTTTGAGAGCATAGGATCGCAAAATGCAGAAACGTGATTTCGACACAGATTGTAGAGAAGTTTTACAAGTGAAAACGCTTTTCAACTCTCGGTCTCTTCTTGTCATTGTAATTGCAGAATATGCGATAACATCTACTCATTCATCAAATTTCTATGGTGTTCATGTCGAAATCCTTTCAATTCGAAATGGTCTGAAATTACCCTGAAATAGCGGAGAGGATTAGTAGTTACAGGTAAAGATCAGTATCATTTTGAATAATATCTCAAATCAAATAGAGTGAAGGGGATTTTTCCAAATGTTACTATGAGGCCCAAAACATATCTCATGTAATTTCAGTCGCGACCCGATTTGGCAATATCCAACTAGCCCTAACTCATCGAAAGAGGTCCTGAATGTACAAAAGATAGGGCATTTTATCAATTTACAAAAATACATGCTATGCCATGGGTCTACTAGTATTGAATTTGAAGACATCTGGCAAATTGCCAGATCGCGTGGCGACTAAAATCGCGTGAGGCATGCCTTGGGTCTAGCGCAGATGTAAATGTAAAATCAAAATGTCGTTACAATTTGTTACCGTTCATAACGTGCAAAAGCAACTCCATCTTATCAAATCGCTTCAATAGCTGAATGTATTTTCTTCCTCAAGACCTACTGTGCTCCAAATTTGATATTAAATATTAATAACTGATCTGGTATGTGAAACAAGCCGAGTTTTCGGATAGTTTTTGATATGAAGCATTCTGTGAATATTAGATCGCTCCGAAAAATTGTGCCTCTTCGATTTTTCATGAAATATAAAAAAATACGTACATACAAACGGAATCCGACGCAGCTCTTTTCTTCCTTTAGCAGCATGCCATGCTTCCAAGCAAATTCTTTTTGTATGTCGCCCAGATAATTGCCAAAGTTCGAACTACTCGTTCTCACTAAATCCAGATTTGGCTGATACCAAAAAGTTCGCTGTGGTTTGATTGCAGGAGATGGAGCGAACAATTGCAAAACAATGCTTTCTTAAACCTCTCTAACGGCCGTTTTCAAGCTTCACGAGTTCTTCCGTAAACGTTTACGTCGGGAGAATTTGCATGATGAATTGAAACGAATTAAAACTATACGCGAGGCTTTCACAAATTGGAAAGAAAAAACAAATATTAAATAGCCGAAGATTATTAGTATTGATTGATACCCTGGTTGATATCGCATTATTTGATTACCTCATAGATTACGATTTGTAAATGCAATGGCCTTTGGGGGGGGGGGGGGGGTCGCAAGATTTTGCACTTCATTTACTTTATCTGCCTTAACAAATCTTTTCAAAAAGTAGCGATGT